TGGTTGTTAAATGCTTTCTTCACTTAAAGGGGACTACCATGCAAAATGGTCTGTCATGAGTAAGGTGCACCCCCTATTGATTTATCTCCGTAGGGCAGTTCATAATCTGCCATCTGTATCCACGGCGCCCAGTGCTCCTGATGTAGCCTAGTGGATCAGGAGGGATCTAATCCGAGGACAAGTTTCACTACGTGGGACAATAAAGTGCACATTTAATATTTACATTATAAGTGTGTTTTATAATAAGATGTTAATCGGTAGTCGACAGTGGGCTCGTTGGTTAGGCATTTGCCTTTGGGGCTTGAAGGTTGTGGTTGGTTCGAGGCCCACCACGAGACCTACTTCCGACTCACTGTGCAGAGGCTGGTGTTCTGTGAGATGGGTGCAGCTCTGACTGCCACCCCCAGACCCAGAAATAGAAATTGATTCAAGGGGGAAGACGATGCATGGATGGATGAAATTGAGGCCTTTGAGCCTGAAAAGTCATGGGGTTCGATCCCAACATGAGACTTTCCACTGACTCCCACTGCTGTTGTTATTTCCTTGGGGCAAGGTTTAACGCAAACTTTTGCCTGTAGCCCTGCTGAAAAATCAATCTATACCAAAGGAGCAGCATTCTTCTTGGACTACCACTCTGCAGGAGGATCAGTTGAGGGGCAGGTGCTCTGTGAATTGGGTGCCGCTTGACAGCCACCCTCCGACCCGGAAACGGAATTAAGGGGAAGCCAAAATGTATGATTTTGAACAAAAAATGCTTGTGACTACCTAGTGTGGTACAACACAATTCTTGATTCTGCATGTGTGGTGATGAGTTAGTGGATGATGGCAAAGATAAAGATGTGCTCTCTTATGCATATATTGAACTTCATTAATGTATTTCTTTTGCACTCTTCAATGCTGGTCAGGTGAAGCAATTGTTAGACTATGTTCCGGGGTTCTGTTTGCATTTGGAGTTTTTTTATTCAATTGGACTTTTATTTTTCTCAATCATCATTAAATATTATTCTTGATTCTGCATTTTTAGGTCCTTTTTATTTCACCACCGGACTCAACAATATGACTTGCAGTGCCTGTCAAAAAAAAAATTAAACATACGCAAACACGTGCTAATCATTGTGGATCAAATTAGTATGCATGTGGGCATCAGCTGCTCATAATGTTTTTTAGATGGTCGTAAGTTATGAGCAGTGATGTAGGAAAGGGACACAAAATATAGAAGTACTGTAATTCTGTATTACAACAATTTGCGCCTCGAATATACAGCTTTTTCTACTTGTCCTTATATGCTCGTAGGGGTTTTTGTACTTAAAGGAACAATATGTAAAAATCTGGCCAAAAGTGGTACTGCAGTCACCAGTCAATATTTTGTAAGTCTTCTCCCACTCTCCTTGACTCAGGTTGCCAGATTACACCCAAACAGCAGCAAAACACAGGGATTATTTTATCGTTGTTTGTTAGTCTCATTCACAATGCCATGACGCCGTGTCTATGCTGGAATGAATGTTTTGATTTATGTTTTTTTGTTATTATTATTTGGGACATTTGAGATAAAAACAAAAACAAAATAAAAAGCAATGTAATTATAATGTTATGGGCCAAAAATACATAACGCAGATTGATGTCCAACATAGGAGTGGGGAAGAATGGATGTTGGAACGTATTTCTTCAGCGTATAACATCAGGGTTTGCTCAAGAGGTATCCCTTTCAATTTTATTTATTCCCTATTTTTTAGCAACTATGTAAAGTCCACTATCAAAAAGCGGACTAACCATTATTTTAATTGGGATACTTGTGGTCTTAAATGATTATTTTCCCAATTAAGCGATGTAGGATTAACAAATTATGGGTAGTTTGAAATGAATTAGTTACTGTAATATAGTAACTGTAGTGTGTGAGGGTAGTCTCCAAATCAGAGTTGCCGTACTACCGGTGGGGATTTGCTTTAATTTTTAGGGCACCAGCAGAGTTGAAAAGGTCCTGCACAAGATCCCAAACTATCTTTGCCTCGGTCAGTCTTATACTCTAAATGTAGTGAATTGTGGGGGGCGTATATCGCCAGGGATACCCAGATTTCAACAACCCGACGCTTAACTGATTGAGTTAAAAGTAAAGGGGTATATTGACTACAAAAATTGACGATAGAAAAATATACCGAAGGGGAATTTCTGGTCACATTAAGCAATATTGTTATGCACATAATTTGAATCACACTCCAACAGAGAACAGTTCTTACTTTGTAGGAGCGTAGAGGATGGAGAAAGGATTTGGGTTGGGGAATCAGCCCACGTGGTTTCTTTGTCCGGGCAGGCGGGAGGTACGAAGCCAGCGAGTTGGTCCAGCTGCTGATCCACGCGTATACAGCCCCAGTCCGGAATGGGGTTTGCGTTGCGTAGCGTCAGAGGCCAGGGAAAAGGGCTTGGTGCTTGGAAAACAGTTCATAAGGTCGAGCCAGCGAAGTAGGGCTGTGTTGCGGGAGTAGAAGGCCCGAAGTGCGGTGCAGGGCGGCCGTAGTAGGAGGAATCACGTGGACGAGTCACAAAAGGGCAGGGAGGCTGAAATGGTGATTTCAGGTAGAAGACAAGAGGAAGTCTCTAGGTTTGCAGACTGTGTTTTGTATGTGGTCAAAGTCGTCATATTTGTGGCGTCTTCTTGACAACCTCCTCACACCAGATGGGTTTATAATGGGAACCACAGGATATTACAGACGATCATAACACATGTACAAACACACACCACATTTCATTACATGCCCACTGGTACACACTGTAGGGCACGGGTTACAGACTTATCGGTATACACGAGTCCGGGAGGTCTCCAGAATGTCCGGGCCTGTGTTGTGATTTGGTGTTCAGCTATAATCTGCAAAAAAACGTCTTGACCTTCATCTTTTACCGGTCCTTTTTTTAAGCAATCTACTTTGAAGTCTCAGGGAGCTCATAGAATGTGATAACATGCAATAAATACAAAAAGACATAGCCCGGGATCGAACCCGGGTTCCTGCATTGTAAGCGCACAGTTTAGACCACTAGACCACCGATTCACACGAATAAAGACACTGTGAAGAACGGAGTCAAACTAGAAAATTCTTCATCACACGTGAACTTTTATCAGCTGTCTCAATTGTTCAAAGGCATCCCGATATAAATCCTCGTTTTAGTCTTTGTTTTGTTATTAATGATTTGAGAGTCATAACAAGACCTTTTTTAGTTCTGCGCCACATGTTATTTTACCACTGAGATTAATGAGCTGCGCGGAGTTCTGGCAACCCGATCACGGACTTACATGACACTTCCTGATTGGCGAAACGGCGGAGGGTAGGACATCAAAATCAAAACAATAACAACTTTTACGGGTCGTAAAACTAATTTTGATAATCAAATATCTCGGCTGAACTACTGTTATCAGTTAAAGATGAATTCGAAAAGAGTATGATTTAATAACGCCTTTTGAAATATTCGGGTCATTTAATGATGACTTCACATGCAAATTTTACATATTGCTCCTTTAAAGCTAGAGATGCGCTGATTATATTCATGGATGAGTCTTAGTCTGTAGAGTTCTTAGTTTTGTGTAAACAGCAGGTTTGTCCTTCGCACACCTCTCTCTCTCTCTCTCTCTCAGGTGAGTGTAGCGCAGACCGGTGCACGTGGAGCTTGATAAACATGTAAACTTTAAATACAATCGGAATTCAACTCCACAATCAGCACCAACCAAACTGCAGGAATAAAAATGCCAATTTTACAACATGACATTTCCTTTTGACAAGGAAAGAAGATAACAAGCTGATAACGTTACGTAATTGCTCACAAGCAACCAAAAGGTGTGCAACCTAAACTGCCTCAGACAAGAATCGAACCCGGATCCCCCAGGTCCTAACCTGCAACTCTTGCCTAGTGATACTATGTTGGCCGAATGGTTAAACAGGTTTGCACGCAGTCTTATACCTGAGCGTTTAAGTCGCTGGCAGAGCTAAAGCGGACTGTTTCACGATTCATGAAAAGCATGAGTGAAGACGACAAAACGAAATGGGACCTACTGTACCTAACCATATTCTGAATTAAAAAGGACTGTTTTAAGCCTCGCCTTGAATGTAGAGACTGTGTCTGTTTCCTTGACGTAAATGGGGAACTGATTCCAGTGTATAGGAGCTTGGAGCTAAATGCTCTACCTCCGACTGCACTGTGTCCAGGGGACAGCCCAGGACCTTGTCAGTAGAGTCATAGAAAGTCTTCACAAGTGGCCCCTGCACTACAAAAGATCTGAGCCTCCTCAGTAGGTCGGCTCTGTCCCTTCTTTAAGAGGGCGTCTGTATTATGAGTCCAGTCCAGTTTGTGATTCAAATGAACACCCAGATACTTGATCCTTCCCTGTATGTTCACTGGGGCTGGAGCATCAGAGTGAGGTCTGTGGAAATCCACCACCATCTCCTTAGTCTTCCCTCTTAATGAGAAGATGTTCATCTCCTTGGTCTTCCCCACGTTGATGAGGAGGTGGTTCAGCTCCTTGTCAGGGACAAGACCTCAGGCACGCAGTCCCAGACTACGCAAATTAGGGCCTGTCTTTGAGGAAGTCCAGTCCACTCAGTTTTAGTCCACCCCAGCTGTCTTTTGGCTTTTCCCTAAAAGAGAGAAGGTTAAACTGAACGAACACAACGCTACGGCCATCCAGCTCTCCCAGCGCCTTTTAATATAACTACAACTCTGTTTGAATCAATTTTACACCTACCTGCTTAGTCCTGCTTTAGAGCTGTTTTAGACCTGGACCCGGACTTCAGTTGTCTGTTTTGGGTGACTCAGTGACCTGCGTTAACGGTAACAATAAAAATAAATAAATAAACGTGCCCTAAATACATAACAGTGATCCACGGGAGTCAGAGATGATCTACAGCTGACAGAAGAATGTGATCTGTTCATTAAGAAGTGACAGCTTTCATTTATAACTACATTCAATTACACAGTTCAGCACTTCCTCTCCCACTTACATGGGTTTAGGCGTTGTCATGGGAACACCTCCTCTTGAAGAGTGCACCTGCGGAGCGTGTGTCAGTAAGACACACTCTGGCTCTGAATCATCGGTGCTCACCGTCCACTCGCTTCACTCTAGATCTTTCCATTTATGTCACTGGACATAAGAAAACACATGTTGTAGCTTTTTTGAATCTAAAAGATTATTGTGATTTAGATTCCTGATAAGAAAAGCAGAAACTCTGTTTTTCTGCAACCCTAGATCCAGCCCTAGCCCTTACCACAAACACAATAAAACAATGTTTTCTGGTCAATGATCAGACGTTAAAGTGGTGTCACTATTGCTATATTTTCTCCCATGACACCAAGCCTGACTGAGATTCGGGCTGACTTCCACAATACACACTTTGCAGTAGGCTACCTCATCAGCCTCATCGGCGGCAAGTGGAGTTTGCATGTTCTCCCCGTGTCTGCGTAGGTTTCCTCCGGGTACTCCGGTTTCCCCTACCACTAAAAATATGTACAATAGGTCTGGCATGCGCCTCCTGTTCGGCGACCCCGCTCCCATCTCTGTGAGGAGTGAGAGGACAAGTGCCCAAAAAAAAAATAACAATTGTAAACCGCTTTGTGACTCTGGTCTGTGAAAGGCGGTATATAAATAAAGCTTACTTACTTACTTACTTACTTACTAATATGTCTAAGATGGTTTAACAATAGGTAAATTACACTGGAAAGAGGCACGTGTCTTTCTCATGTTGGTTGTTGGACGCTTGTTGTTGGAATGATGATAGTGTGAAAGCACAAACACAGTGGACCGGAGTCATATTGTCCAAGCTGCTCTGGTCTTTCTGACTGTTTTTTCTTTTACCTTCGAGTTAGAATTTCAGCCACAAATCACCAAAACCTTTGTTTGTTTTCAGGCTCAGAAGTTGAAGTCAAACTCGACAGTGGACGGCATCTTCTGTGTGAGTACACGTTTATGGATTAATATAATCATCCAAGTTAATCAATCATTAATAAATCATAAATGAGAATATCCACATGTCTCCTCTCTTCACACATCACATTTGAACTCATAGTCTCAGTGGAAAAAGGGGTCCACCGGGGTGTAGGTGCAGAGGTCTCAAAGCTAACTCAGCATAAACTACTCTCTCCATATGTTAGCACGTTAGAATTCCCCTTTGGCTTTGAAGAAAGGGCTTCTGTGTGACATCACAAGCCGATTGGAATCTTTAAAGATGGCCATAATGAAGGACGGCTTCTCTTATCTCCATTCCTAACTTTTGCAGCTATACATTTATTCGTGTGTTTGGATGTGAGTCTGTGAGGCACCTGATTGGTCAGCCTTAAGTCCCTTTGAGGCTGAGGCTTATCAGGACCTGCTAAAGTTCAGCCTAAGTGCAGTAATGCTCCAGTGTAACGTTCATGGAGAGGCAGGGAGGGCCAGGTCTGGGTCTGACCCATGGGCCAGGCCTGAGTCCTGGGTAGGAGGCAACCAAGCTACTGTTAACACATGCACACAGGCACTTAGAGAAAGACGCACACAAACTAAACACACATGCCCACAGAGACACACACACACACACACACACACACTTTCTGCTCTCAGGGACAGAAGTATTGTCCTCGGGCACAGAAACACTTTCTATTATTTAAGTTCATAATATATTTCTGGCCTCTGTCACATCTTTAAATCATCTTTTTCAGAGAGAACAGTAACAAAACAGTGGACCACCCTCACTTAGCCAGTCAGCTCTCAGCCCAAAGAGTCAAATAGAGTGTCACAGGGCTTTTTCCTTCAAAGAAGATTAAATCCTTCTAGTAAGACAGTATGATGTGGTTTGTTTGTTCTGTGTTTGTGTCCCTGAGCCAGAACACTGCAGTTATCTTCATACTAAACTCAAAAAAGCATTATGTGTCCCTGTGTTTCGCAGGACCCTCAGATCGACGGCCCAAGCTCATCCAACAGCATCTCACGGAGCTCCAGCACCCCACCCCAGGCCAGCACCAGCTCTCTGCTGCCCCTGCTGGTGTGGCTGTGGGTGTGCATGGCTGACAGACAGTTTTAGCCCCCTCATCCTCACAAATTGACACACATATGAACGCGTACGTGTACAGGCCACAGGACACACACACAGAGAAGCACTCACGCAAACCCACAACCAGACATGCACACAACACAAACACATACACACTCAAAAGTTTTTGGCCCATTAGTTAGAACGGCGGAGATAGGCGTGACTCTGTCCATTAATATATACAGTCTATGGTACACACATACAGAGACACACACAAGCAAAAACATAAACACACAACGGACTAACACATGTATAGGACACAGGACCCAGAACTCTTTGCTTTTATATTTGTTTAACATGTGTTTTTTTGTTTGAGATGTTTCAGTTGCAGATATGTTTTGGTAATGTGTTCTGTAAAAGTTGTGTAAACTATGACAGGCAGCGGACGAAGCAGTACAGAGCTATTTGAGGGCCACGTCAGAAATATGAGAACCAAACACTTTCCTTTTACCCAATGGGTTATTGCCATGTTTATTGGGTTGGTCTCTTTCTGCAACAGCCTGCATTGTAACTATATTTATTCTAGCTTCCACCATCTGTATAAAACACATGGGCTATTTGGATTAACTTCTGAAACCCAGCAATAACCACATAAAAACAAAATTGGAAAATGTAGTGAACATGAATGCAAATAGATCAGTAAGAATGGAAACTATGGATTTAATTCGCTGCAAAAACCAAATGATGACTAGATGAGGGAGAGTGAACTCAGTTGCTAGAGCATTGGCCTTTGAGCCTGAAGGTCATGAGTTCAAGCCCACCAGAAGACCGACTCCCACTGATGTCTTGTGGTTTGGAAAGCAAGACCACTTAAATGATTGGGTCAAGAGACTGTTGTTATACATGTTTGCATTATTTTCAAAGTCCATTTCAGAGCTTGTCCTTTGCCTCTAACGCATGCCTGTACACATGTAAACCCCTCCTACTCTTGTGTTTTAAACGTGGAAGACAATCCCACTGATGACCGCTGTGAACTTTCTCCTGAGGAATGACCATAGAAGGTGGATGGTTGTCATGACTGCACTCCATGCCTCAGGCTGAGGCACACTTGTCCAGGCTGAAGCACACTGACATGGCACAAGGACCAGACCACATGTCGCTGGCCTGTATGTGAGGACGTGTCCCTAAATCCCCTTCTCTATTCAAATACACACACGCACACATACTCACACACTCTGAAGGACACAGTGAAAGAGGTGTACAGACTTGAATGAATGGCGTTGAAATAAAGTTAAAAAAACTAACGTTTTTCACTATTGACTACAAAAAAGTTTTAGATACAATACAATTTGTTCTTGTATAGCCCTAAATCACAACAGAGGTAATCTCAGAGGACTTAAAAAAACCATTGAAATGTTGATAAATGTCCATACATGTTGTAGAAAGTTAAAGTGTCCTGGATCATCACCACATTCCTTCTAGTTGGACACTAACTGCCCCACAGACCCTCCTGCATCGGCAAGGAAAAACTCATAAGAAAACCCAGTGGGAAAAAGTGAGAAACCTTGGGGAGACCCATATTGAGAAAGGGATCCGCTCCTCCCAGACGGACGGCCTATAGATCCAGGACCTAAGCTACAGAACGTGGACCAGCGGCCGCTGAGCGTGGACAGGTCCGGTGCAGGACTGAAGAACTCCCAGGCGGGTTGGACAGGGCAGTCCGCAGGTGTGGAGAAGGCCAGGCTCAGAGGTCCCGTCGTCGTACCATGAAACAGACAATGGGACAACGGGTGAATAGCAATGAACAGACTACAGTCAAAATCCTAATAATGCTAAACAGATAAAGTAGGAAGGAGTAGAGGATAGTGCTCAAGTTACCATACTTCTCCCAGCAAACTGACTCCCTATGCAGCTTGACTGACAGTCTAAGGAGTTTAGCCTTCCCTGAGTCTTACCTTCCTAGCCATATGCTAACTAAAGAGGACTGTTTTAGCGTAACCTGGAACGTAAGGTTGAAGATGCAGCGGACCGGGTCAAACATACGCAGACTCCAAGACCGGACAAAACCTGACCGGACAACCAACCTAACCAAATGTTGAAAAAGAGTGTTTTAAGCCTGGCCTTAAATTTAGAGACAGTGTAGATCAGACCTTTCTTATCTCTGTATACATGCAAGGGTGATATTTGACCTCAGTGTACTTTGTGATACTGTCCCAGGTGTCTTATAACATTGCCTCCGTGGTGCGGCAGTTGTGGTGTAGCGAAGTGGACGCATGTTGAGGAACTCAGGGCGTCTGCTTTTCAGTCCAATTAAACTCATTTTTGGGAAAAAAAATAAATTTGAAACCTGTGCTGCAGGGACTGTGTTATCACAAAGAGAATACACACATCTGTCGGTGATGATGTGTTTCTGAGCCAACAGACCCCTGGGGCTTGACCCTCAAGTGTTAATTTAAACAGTATCAGATTCTCTCTCCTCCCATGTAAAAGTTATGATTGACAGTCACAAGCCAGCCAATCGGTGCCTCCCCCTGGTATCCTGTGAAAAATACGTGTGGTCTCTGTAGACTCGTTAGCATGACACTCCCTGTTGGTCCCGGTCCTCCTCACATGCAGGAAAGTGTTTGGACTATTCCCTCACAGCAGCAGTGTACAGAAGTGATCGACCAATCAAGCACTGGACAGCACTCACATTGTTTGGAATATTGTGATGTCTGATAGACTGATCCATTGTTTTTTTATGAAATATATATGTATATGATGATATACCGTATTATTGCATTTGACAAAGTCTCAGTGTGACTCCTATGTATTGTTTTGTATTATAGGCCCATTAATGCAAAGTTTCTTGCTTTTGGCCGAGATTATTTTTCTATGTTTTTTCCTGGATTGGAGGGGCAACCACAATAAGCTGAGGCTCTGTTATTAAGGCCGCCCGAGCTGCTAAAAATCAACAGTGTAAGATGTGGACTGAACATTGCATGATTGGTTAATGAAGTACTACTACACATTCTTTGTGGGAGGACGAATATTCCCACAAAATGCCTTGATCATTTTTGTAAAGATTACCACTGAAGCTTTTTCCATCAGGATTCTGGTTTGTGTTGTTTTCAGAAGGTTAGGTAAAAATTGGACTATGAATGTTGGAGGTGGTGACAAGTCTGGGTGCATCTTTGTGACAGAGAACCTTCAGCTCTCTCGCATCATAAACATCTGAGCTTGTGAAAATGTAAAATCTATTGTACAAAAGTTATGATTAAAGTATGAAATCACCCATCTGGCTCCAGAAGAGTTTTGCATGACACGGGGGCTATACACTGCTGAATCTTGACGGGGCTTTGACCTGGATCAGAGTCCGGGGTCCCGACCAGTTGTCACCCTCAACACAGCGCTTGGACTCTAATAATAATTATAATATATCATATTAATACTATAATTTTTTGGCTTCTCAAAGTCTAAACCTAAAGAATAAATATTCTGCGCCTTGATCCAAAGTAAAATCCGGTCAGAATTCATGGGGCCAGTCTTGCGGTCTTGACCTGAAGACTTGAGGAAATGGGTGGAGTGTGCTGTGTTCTCAGCTTTGCAGGGTCAATTCTTTCTGTTAAACGGTAAAAGTATGTTATTTAAATACTGTCCTCCTTCATACACCATCACAGACACATTCTTCAGGTACAGACCTGAGTTTTCCGGTCCTCTCCTTGTGTTACATTAGCAGTGATCATCAGAGGACAGACATGACGCACACACTGACATTTAAACGCACACCCGTCTTAATGACAAAGTGGAAGCTCACAGAATGTCATGTACTTGCACTAACTTCCTGCACTGAGGAGGTGGACACAGCACTAACTTTGTGTATCCTCAGACACTTGATGCATTTATGTCCCACACAGGGAACTTTCAGACAGGTGCACAGATGACAACTTCTGTCTGAGCCTGGGCACACAGATGCGGAGAGGACGACCTGGTGCAAGTGTGAGCTGACCCGGTTCTGACCTCTCGCTGACCCTGGGGTTTGAGGGTTTGGTACTTGCTGCTCATAGATCAGAGGAGGAACATGAGTTTAACTGTAATCCTTAGCCCGTTAAATAAAACATGCTTGTACAGTAGATGACATGGAAAATGCCGGAAGGAAATGCTGATGGGAGACTCTGTCCAAATTACATATAAGCACACTGTTAAATAATGAATAAAATAAGCTATTCACTAAATATGATAGGAAATGAATTCATAAACGTGCACTGAATTGTTTTTATGATTCATTAAATGAGACATGCCATGTGTTGAATGTCTCATGTCACTTTTAATGATCAACTACTGGAGATGGAAGCAAGTTCCTGGTTGTATCAAATGATTTTAAAAGTAAAATGATTTTCCAAAGAGACAAACGCATGTTGTTTTTCAAAAAGTTAGCATTCCTCCAGTGGATTTTCACCTGATCTGCTTGGTTCGGACCATGAATCCTCTCCTTCCCAGTCAGGACCAGTGCAAAACCATAAACACTGTACTGCAGCGACATCTCAGGTACAGGCCCAGTACTAGATCTACAGCTCCAGTCCTTGTACCACAGCCTCAGTCAATCAATCAATCAATCAAAGTTTATTTGTAGAGCGCCTTTCATACACAGGGCAACACAAAGCGCTTCACAGTCCACATCACAAATCATCACATAAAACAAACACCAGAATCACAATTAAAACATTAAAATCACACAAAAGATTAAAACACAATTAAAACATTAAAATCACACAAAAGAATAAAACCATTAAAACTTTCAAAATTACACAAGAAATTTAAAAAAATAAATAAATGACAGCAGTGCATTAGAAATGGAGATAAAATCCTTCAGTTGTATGCACAGGCAAACAGAACAGTCTTTAACCTGGATTTGAACATTGACAGAGTAGACGCCTCCCTCACATTTTCAGGGAGATTGGTCCAGATCTTAGCTGCATAGATCTGAAACGCAGCCTCCCCATGTTTGGTTCTCACTCTGGGCACCAGCAGGAGGCCAGTCCCTGTGCTCCTCAGAGTCCGGGCCGGTTCAT